TAAAGGAAACAAGGGTAAATTGCTACAATTTGATGAACTTGACTTATATACTCATGGAAGTAGTAGTTCTAAATTCCAACAGAGAATGAAGGCGTCTTCACATCAAGTATCAATGCTATCTCCTCTGTATACAGGGTAGATAAGGACAGGCAACTTAGACATTGGTTACCTAAAATGAGGGGTGATAAAGGTACAAAGTGACTGGCTTACAAGTTTTCTAGAGGGAATTTAGTTTAAGAGTGTGGGGGAAGATAGAGTCCCCACTGAATAGTTTCCATCTTATCTAGATGGGTCTGGTGAAAAGAGGTGGGGATAAGATTCTTATGATTCAATAGTGAATAATAGTAATCATGACTAATTGTGACTGTCACAATTGTAATGGTAGAAGTTTTGTAACAAAAATGGGGGAGCAGTTAATCTTACAGTCCAGAAACAGAGGCCCGTAGGACCATCAAGGGAGAAGAGCTCAAGCAGAATGCAGGACCTTATCCAGAGAATCAGCCACACTAAAGATGGAGACAGAGATGGGGTCATGGAGAGCAGCTGAGGACTCTAAATTCATGGGAAGAGAGGGACTGAGAGCTGGTGGCCAGGAGGCAGACTTGCAGAATGTGCCCTTTAGTGGTGTAAATAACTATATATGCCTGAGTGTTTAAATAAATAAATAAAAACTAAAATGAATATAGAGAAATAAAGTTAACTGATGGTACATGGAGGGGATTATAATCATTGTAATGAAACAAAGTGTTTGATTTGTTGAATGTAAAATTGATGATTGATTATCTGCCCTGTAAACTTTCACTCAACTCACAATAAAAACTTTAAAAAGACAAAACAAAACTCTTCCCATACCATCTTTCTAATGTCAGCTGCTCCCACATCTTCCCCAGAGCAACTATTCTGATCACAATACACTGCTTACATCTTCATCTTCATAGACCATTTTTGTTTGTTTATTTATTGCCTATTTCCAGTAGAATATAAGCTCAAAGAGGGCAATAGCCACATTAATTTTATTTACCAATGCTCTGTAAATCATTCAATGGATGGATCGAAGTGGAAGTTATATTAGCAATAGGAAGTGTAGAAGAGGCCATGGATATGAGAGAAATGGCACTTGAGATGTGCAGACAAATATGAGTGGTTGACTAGAAAAAAGATAGTTACATCCACACAAACATAAATGTTAGGAGAATATGAACATTTGTAAAAGGAAGATAATGAGTTGAATTTTGAATATGTTTTGTTTCTGAGCTGACAAATTCCTTTGGAAATATCTAACAACAGTGGAATTGTGAGATTGTACTTGACAGAAGTCCATAAGAGAGATAAGTTTGGTAATTATTGACACAGAAGTCACAGGTTAAAACCTGAGTATGTAGGATTGGTAAGTGGACAGTGCAGGAGGAGAGCAAGTAAAGAAGAAAGAGGCGGAGGAAAAGAAAGAGATGCGAAAAAGAAAGAAATCAACAATAATAATTTTTTGATCTGCATTCAATAAATAATGTTGTTGTGAAGTGCTGCCAAGTCGATTCCGACCCATAGCGACCCTATATAGGGTTTCCGAGGAGCAGCTGGTGAGTTTGAACCGCCGACCTTGCAGTTCAAATGGCTTTGCAGTCTGGCGTATTAACCCACAGCGCCACACCAGGATTCCCAATAAATAATAGTGACTACTAAATTAGTTCACACCCTATATAGTCATTGTGAAGGACACAAAAACCTTGTGTTTAAGGTCAGGAAGGCTGCCTTGCTCCCTAACATGTCCCCAAGTCCTAAAATAGTGCCTGGCACGTTGAAGAATTTATATAAAGTTGAAACAAGACAGTCTGCAGAATCAGCAGGAGCAAAGATACTGAAAGTAAGGAAGTGCTATGTACATACTGTCTGGCCATAGAAGATCCATTTGTATACAGTGGGAAACATGGTTAGAATGATAGAATTAAGGTTTTGTTCAGTAGACAACGGAACAGCACTCAAGACATTTATGAAGTGCAGCGATTTAATTATAGCTGTGCTGGAAGATGAAAGCAGAATGCATCTGAGTGAGAAGAAGCAGGAGTGATCAAGACCTGATCAGACGGTATTGTAAAAACTGAATGATCAAAGTATGAAGACCTGAATATGATGGTCCTGATAAGGATGGAAAATATGGAGCAGATATTTGGTAGCTTAACAAAGGGGCAAATGAAAGAAAGTACCAAAGATCCCTCCCAGGAAGATTATAACTGGCACATTGGTGGTACTGTTAGAAGCCCTTTGCTTCTCAAACCCTCAGCTTCCCCATATGAAAAATGAGATAGTTTGTTGTTGTTGTTGTTGTTAGGTGCTGTTGAGTTGGTTCTGACTCGTAGCAGCCTTATGCACAACAGACCAAAACACTGCCCAGTCCTGCACCATCCTCACAGTCATTGGTATGCTTGAGCCCATTGCTGCTGCCACTGTGCCAGTCCATCTTGTTGGGGGCATTCCTCATTTTTACTGACCCCTCACTTTACCTTCTCCAGGGACTAGTCCCTCCTGATAATATGTCTGAAGTATAAGAGACTAAGTCTTACAATCTGGCTTCTAAGGAACATTCTGACTATACTTCTTCCAACACAGATTTGCTCGTTCTTATAGCAGTCCATGGTACTTAGTAATATTCTTCTCAAATGCATCAAATCTTCTATAGCCTTCCTTATTCACTGTCCAACTTTCAAATGCATATGAAGCTACTGAAAATACCATGACTTGGGTCAGATGCACCTGTATGGTGGTCACTTTCTATTCTATGCTATCTCAATCCATTCCATCCTGCTTATAGGGTCTATGGTGTCTTCCTTACTTCCACTTCCTGGAGGCCAATATCAGCCAGTATTGATTGCTGAGGATTACCAGAGCTAATCATATTTCACTATCAGTCATGAAACATAAGTTGGAGGAGTGACTGACTACATGTCTTCTTTTGAGGCCACCCTAAGGTGGATATGAGGGTGGAAGGAGTATGGGGAATATGGTGCAGTGAATTACTTAAGAATTGCTTAACCAGTCTTTGTGACTCCCACAGAACGATTGAGTGAGACCATTCAAATAAAATGTATGGAGCCTGGGATGGTTGGGGCTATGCATTAACTTGTCTTGGCCATGATTCCCAGTATTATGTAATTGTCCTCCATTTTGTGATGTGTTATAAATCCTAGCCCCTATCTTACCCTAGAGCCCTAGTGTGGCTCTATAGGATAAGCACTGGACTGGTAACCTCAAAGTCAGCAGTTCAAACCCACCATCTGCTCTCAAAAACCCTATACAGGGTCAGTTTGAGTCAGAACCAACTGGATGGCACATAATAACAACAGCAACAACATCCTAACCTATGGGCATGGTCCCACTTAGGAATGAGTTGTCCATTATGTTAGTGAGGGAGGATTAAGGTGGGATGTATCTTGAGGCACCACCTTACTTAAGTTTTTAACCTACCTTAGCCATCATCCATACCATCCTTATTCGAGTACCCACCCTTCATTGTCTCACTGAAAACATGCCCTTGCTTGAGTCACACTTTTTATCTTACAAGAGACAAAAGGAGAGAAACACCAGTAGAGAGAGGGGAACTTTCTATCATCAAGAAGAAAAGAAGGAAAAGGAGCATGTCCTTTGGGCCCAGGGTCCTTGTGCTGGAAACCTTCTAGACCCAGAAGACAGAGAGTTATAACATAGAAGACAGTGAGAGATGATGGTTCAGTGGTAGCAAGGGTGATAGTGACATGAGATGGCTCTGGTTTGACTTGCCAACCCATGGAGCTAAGAGTTGTAACACTTGCCTAGGCAGGGCCCAAGGGTAGAAAATCTCAAACATGGTCCAGCAACAGAAGGCAAGAAGAAGCTGGACTGATTAAGAATCATATTCTGATTTGTTCCTGTTATTTCTCTAATACAGCCCAGAATTGTGAGTATCATCTGTGAGTTCTATGTGGTCACGTCAATGAAGTATCAAACCCAGAAGAGATGTAGAGAGTGCTGTGGGAGTGGTGGCTGGTGTCAGAAATGATAAAAAGTTTGAACAGAGGAGGTAGGTCTGACTTTCACCTCATAGGAATCATCCTTGGGTTGATAATGTTGATAATGATTTTTCTTCTCTCTTGTGACATTGCCCTCATGCTATTTTTATAGGAGACAATCCTGGTAGAATGGCTCTGGCCTCCCCTAGATTCTTCCTGCAGCCTAGCATCATCAGTTCCTCACCCCTGGTCCATAGCTGAGAACATGGTCAAAAAATAACCCTCCATCTGGATCTAAAATCCTAGCTTGCTTTCTGATCAGCACCAGGACCAACCCCATGGTCTGTGCCATGAAAGAAGACACGCATGATTTCTCTGGTACCATATCAATGATTCCAGAATTGTCAAGGTTTGTGTATTCTTTGAGCCCCAGATCCCTGGATAACTCAGACCTTCCTGTGCTTTTGCCTAGAGGAATCTCCTTTCACATAAAGCGAACAGGCTTCTGCTATATTAAGTGGCTTCAGAGGCACAGAAAATGACCATTGCCATCTCTTCCATCCCACCTCTTAATAAATGTTTAAAAATACCTTTCCTCTACCCCTTGACTAAAGCAGCACGTCCCTCCTGTCTAAGATTTGGTCCCATGTGAAACACAAATCTCTAAGGAAGGGAAACATTCAGGCCACTCATTAATCATTCAATTCTGTATCTCTAGACTTTTCTAGTGTCACTAGAGCAGGATCCAATATGGGGAGCAGCAGAGAAGTACTCAGTGAGCTTGCATGAAAGATGCTAAAACCCAAACTCTGCCAATTTCATGGCTCACCAGACCAGCCGTCTTGTCAGAGTTGCTCTTTGTTAGCCTGCCACCACTCTCCTGATTTTCCTGAGATGTTTCCCATGACAACTTTCATTTGTGCCCAAGCTCAGTCCCAATTAAGGTGGCAGCACCCTGGAAAGTGCACTGTTTCTGTTCCTGTTCCACCTCCCTCTCCAGGAGGCAGGGAGCTGACTTACCCAGGAATAGCAGAGTTGTCCACAGTAGAATGTGCCTCAGAGGGTGGGAGGATGTACAGAGAATCTGATCTCTCTCACCAGCAGAGAAGGGTAGGAACATGGAGATTCCCATCATTCCCCGTAGCTGGCTAGCTCCAACAGCTCTGATTCAGTACAGGAGATCCAGACTTCTTTTGAAGCTTGACAGATTCTACCCCTAGAGGACACACAAATTCTAGAGTTCAAAAGAGGAACTGTTGAAGAAATGCTGTGTTTTATAAGATGCTCCTCCCCTTCTCCCCTCTTTCCTTTCAACTGTTCCCTCCCAGAAGATTCACGACTTCCCAGAATTAATCTTGCTCAGTCCAATTCCAAATTTACAGAAATTTTAGAAACTGGAAAACAAGTCACTCCTCTTCCTCTGGGATTATACTTGGGCTGGGACTCTGGGGAAAAGAAGAGAATGTTTCCCACACTCAGCTCAGAACTTCCCATCTCAGGTGTTATTCTTTCCAGGAAAATGATGGAGGAGGGTGTGCAGGCAGTTTCTTCATATTTCCCATTCCATTGGGAAGCCCAGACACTGAAATCTGGGCTCCTCCTGAAATTGAGAATAGGGCCTTTAGGCTACCCACCCTTCTTTGATTTTTCTCTATCATCATAATCCCTTATTCACTTTTGGATTGTGGAACAAGGACAAGGAGGTATGCCAGGGTAGCAATAGGATGATCACACTCATCCTTATTATACCGTGCATTCATTTAATTTATGCCTTCCCTCTCCCCACCACCAGATTCATTATCTTGGTCATTTTTGCCACCCTCATTCCCATCACTATAACATAGTAAAAGAACATGGACTTTGGAGCTGTGCAGATCTGGGTTGAACAGCCAGGTAACTTCTCCAGGCTCCTCATCTGTAAAAATGAAGATGACTATGTTTACCAACAACTTTGTGTGTAGAGTTTCTCAGCCTCTGCACTAGGAACATTTTGAGAAAGATAATTCCTATTAGCAACATCCCTGGCCTTAACTCACTAAATACTAATAGTATACAATAAAAATGTCTCCAGATATCAACAAATATTCCTTTGGAGGTAAAATCACCCTCAGTTGAGAACCACTACACTCAAGGTTGTTTGGAAAATTAATAGAAAATATATGTGCTATAAAAGTGTCTGTTGTATTGTGGGTGTCCAATGAATGTGGTTTCCTTTTCTTGCTTTCTGTCATCTCTGGTTTACCCTCAGCATACTCAGAATGTAAGATGCTCTGAGGTTCCTTTTGGGGACTTTAAGGCCCTCTCCTGGGGATTCTCATTTTAAAATAATATAACATTGTGAGACCTTGCTTTCATTCTGTGGTCTTCACAAATCTTCAACAAACATACATGCTTTTGCTGCCATTTCCACTGATATGCAGATGATACAACCTTGCATGCTGAAAGTGAAGAGGACTTAAAATATTTACTAATGAAGATCAAAAAGCACAGCCAACGGTATGGATTGCATCTCAATGTAAAGAAAACAAAAACCTCACCACGGGACCAATAAACAACATTCTCAATGGAGAAAAGATTGAAGTTGTCAACGACTTCATTCTTCTTGGATCAACTATCAACACTCATGGAAGCAGCAGTCAAGAGATCAAACGACATATTGCATTAGGCAAATCTGCTGCACAAGACCTTTTAAAAGTACTGAAGAGCAAAGATGTCAACTTGAGGACTAAGGTGCGCCTGACTCAAGCCATGGAATTTTCAATAACCTCATACGCATGCGAAAGCTGGACAGTGAATATGGAAGACCGTAGAAGAATTGATGCTTTTGAGTTATGGTGTTGGAGGAGAATATTGAAAGTGCCATGGGCTGCCAAAAGAACCAATAGATCCATTTTGGAAGAATTGCAGCCAGAGTGCTCCTTAGAGGCCAAAATGGCCAAACTTCATCTCTTATACTTTGGACCTATTGTCAGGAGGAACCAGTCGCTGGAGAAGGATATCATGTTTGGTAAGGTGGGGAGGGTCAGAGGAAAAGAGGAAGACCTCCAACGAGATGGATTGGCCAAGAGGCAGCATTGATGGACTCAAGCATGGCAACAGTAGTGAGGTTGGCCCAGGATCAGGCAGTGTTTTGTTCTGCTGTGCATAAGGTTGCTACGGGTCGGTACTCACTCAATGGCACCTAACAACAGCAACAACAATTCATCTCCAGTGCATTTTTTTTTAAATCACTGGTGAGACAACAATGAATTAACATCAATACTTTAAAAATATTATACAAAGAAAAAGCATAGAGCTATATACAGTGAATACCCTAAGAAATCAAAATTAATAGCTACTAGTGGTTACGAATCGGGCTGTTAACCTCAAGGTTGGCAGTTTGAAACTACCAGTTGTCCCATGGGAAAAGATGAGGCTTTCTGCTTCCATAAAGATTTATAGCCTCAGAAACCCTGTGCAGTATCACTATGAGTCCGAACCAACTCCACAGTACTTAACAACAACAACAAGCATATAAGAGTCCTGGTGTGCCACTGGGGGTCAATGCGCTGGACTGCAAAGTTGGTCTGAATTGCAGTGTTGGCAGCTCAAGCTCACCAGCCGCACCTTGGAAACCCTATACAGATCGCTATGGGTTGAAACTAACTCGACGGCACTTAACAACAACATTATGTAAGCACATGAATGCTTACTATGAAGGAGGCACTTGACTGATTATTTCTCTTACAATAATTTCAGAAAATTAAAACTATCCTCTCCAATTATGCCTGAAAAAACGAGTGTGAGAGAAGTTAAAATGATTTGTCTAAGGCTACATGAGCCCTGGTATGGATACACACTGGACTGTCAACCTCAAGGTCAGCAGTTCAAACCCACAAGCCACTCTGTGGGAAAAAGATAAGGCTTTCTGCTCCCATAAAGATTTATAGCTTGGAAACCCTATGTAGGTTGCTATGAGTCTTCACACTTTCCATTTTAGAGTTTCCCAGTGTTCAGAGGTGCCTTGAGAAAGTGACTTGGTGGGCTGAGCTGCTGAGTCTCCCTCAGTCCTCAAGATGGTTGTTGTTGTTGTTAAGTGCTGTTGAATCAGTTCTGGCCCATAGCAACCCTGTATAGGGTTTCTGCGGAGCAGCTGGTGAGCTTGAACTGCTGATGTTGAAGTTCAAATGGCTTTGTAGTGTGGCACATTAACCATTGGATGGGGCCAATTAGCCCAAACTGAGAGCAGTCTCATTTGTTTACACCAGTATACATAAGGTTTTCTCCATTTGCCATGTGAAAATGCTCAGGAAGCCATGCATTGCACCAGCCTACTTCCTTGAATTGTCTCAAGTCCCAGATACCGCAGGAACCAGAGCTGCACGAACTGGTTTCCGGGCGGACAGAGAATTGAAAAGTGGGACTCAAGATGGTCAGTCGAGAGTGACTTTATTATTCTACAATACAGCTTTAAGTACAATCTTAGGCAGGAAGCCTATCCAGACAGCTCATCAATCTAAGGTTTATGATTACTAAAGTAACCTTTAAGTACAAAGCTAAGAGTTAACAATAACTAGATAAAGATCAAGTACATAGTAATTATTCCCCCTAATTACGGACTTTATTTTAATTTCCCCAAGCTGTTAGGTCAGTGTGCTCCAAGCCCAGCACCGATGGCAAGCAGCGTTTTTCTTGTAGTTCTCATCAAAGTGTTCCTTGGTTAGAGAACTACCACTAAGTGGGTGTCACACATGTCCCCCTTTTAGTTTTTGTAAAGCAAGCAAAAGAAATGCTCCCTGTGATTTTCCACATCACTAATCTTCCATAGTATGCATTTCCAGACTAAAGATCGTAAGAAAAGAAAAATAATCACTATAATTATTCCAGTAATAATAGAAATTCTCCAATTATGAAACCAATTCTTAGGATTAAATTCTTGAGTGGCTTGAAGAAATGTTTCAGCTACATTAGAAGCATGATTAATTTGAATGTGCTTTTTAAAAGTATGATTCATCTGAGCTTCTAGTTTCTTTATATCTATAGACATAGTCCCTCTAAAGCCATACAAATGATTCTTTATTTTCTGCCATTCTATTTCACTACAATTATATTCAGCTGGAGTTACACAGAAATCATTACATTGCTAATCACATTTCAGTGAATTTTTATATTCTAAGGCTATAATTTGTTCTCTTAGCCATTTTACAGATTGTTCCAATTCATATAATTGAGAAACCATTTCTCTATCTATTTTATCTCGTTGATTCCATAACTGATGTGCATTTTGCTGCCAATCTTGTACAAATTCAGCATTTTGAATACTTTGACTTAAAGCCACCCTAGCCACTGTTGCAACCGTGACAGTAGCTTTAAGTCCAATAATAACAGCTATAAGGGTTCCAATAAATCTTTTTGTTCTGTTTAATACTTTACTTAACATTTTCATTAATACATGTATTTCTGCACTTTGTTCCCAAGGCCTAGTTAGATTAACAGGAAGCCAAACTCCCAATCAAGCCTTTAGCAAGATGATAGGCATATTTTTGTTATACAGCCTATGATTCAAACAAGTATACGATTTACAGGGAAAGCAAGTCAGACTTTTGTCAGCATCATCATGTATTTCTATTGTACCTATACCAATAACATAAGGCAATCGAACATAGGCTTGCAAGTATTTGGTCTCATTTACTCGGAATTCATACATGGCCTCACTACAACTTGTTCCAGAAAAATTCCAATGAATATTTTATAAAGTTGTAAAGCAAAAGGTAGTTTTCACAAGTTCCATTGTTCAGGTCCTAAGATAGGAAGAACCATCTGTGGCTGAGAGGGTGCCATTCCTCCTTCATGCCAAGCCATTAGTTGTGATGCTTGAGTCCAAATCACATCATCTGAAACATTCCAGCGAGGGTCAGTGACTAAGTCACAAGTAACATTAGCCTTTTCTTCCAATGAATAATTTGTTAAAATTTTTTCCAAGAGGTACCTGATCAATAATGGTTAACTGTGTCATTTTTTAATACCATAGCACGTTCCCCTCTGCATTAAGACCATTCCAGTTTCTCAGGAACAATCCAGTTGTAACTCATATGAGGACAATCTGTCTCATTATTCTTTTGCTCCATGGTTACATTTCTTTAACTTTCAGAAAAA